TCAAAAACTTTTATATGTTGGACATAGAGATTTGAGTAGTAAAAGATAAAAAAAAATTCTATAATTTTTAAATTTCAAATGTCCAGTGTTATTATTATTATTAGAATTACCAAAGATAGATTTTTTACCTTTTCTAGACTCATCAATATACTCACATTGTTCATTATTACTACTTCTTCACCCTTCTATAATATTAGCATTGAATTCTTCTACTTTTTGTGCTGATAGTTTTTTCAGGTTTGCTGCATATCATGTAATCCAATTTGCAACTGTTGTCACTTCGGGAATATTCTCAACTTGAATTTCACCTTCATCAGCTAAAACATGAAGTTGACTTACCATCCCTTTTGCTGTCATTCAATCAACTTTGTTTATATTGCTTGCTAAAAAATATCCCTCAAGATAAGATTTTATTTTCTTGGTCATACACTTTCCTCCTCCTCTTATTCCATATTTTTGTTTGCTTTTCAATGCCCATCCCTTTTCTAGTTCAAATTTGGCATCTATATTAAATATCATGTAACAATCATTAATCAAAATTATCAACAATATAATAAACAAGAAGTAATAAATTCTACCTAATGTCCTGGTGTTATTTTTTGTTCCAATATCCCTGGTTTGTATGCTTGTATCTATAAAAATTAAAAAAAGATTATGTGAATATGAATATAAGAATATAATAAAATGCATCTCATATTTTTTACCTTGAGTATTAGACAATGAAATATTCCATTTTTCTTCAGGTATTGAATGAGAAGAAACTAGGGGTGTTGACTTGTTTATCTCTGATGGTGAAAATCGTAAAGTTTCTCTAATATGTGGTAGACATTGAGCTTGTATAAACCCAGAATAATCACCTTTGATTGGCCATTCAAAGTAAAACAATTTTGTGATGCCTTCAGTGGTTTTAATCATATGATTTTGATGTGTTGGCTCTAGATGTGCAACAGAAGTTCCTTTTAAGCCAACTATTGCTTTTTCTATTTTATTTTCCTCATCCAAATTGTGCCCAACACATATGTATCTCTTGATGGCATGTGAAATCTAATAAAACAATTTTTCTAATTAATAAAAATGTAAGAATTTAATGTAATATATAGCATTATGTGGGTTGTACAAAAAGTTGAGAAAATACATGTAACTTGATGATCTTTTCTTTAATAAAAATAAAAATGGGAATAAAAAACCCTTAGGCCACAATCTTTTAAATAAAAAAAAAATCATTCAAATTGAGTCATTTGTTATTAAGTTATAAATTTTTAAAGTTTGCCAGTAGTAACAAATGGAAAATTCAAAATGTGAATACCAAAGATACTACATTTTTGTTAGCTGGAAAAATAGCAAACCAGCTAAACAAATTCAACAGGAATTACAGGTTGCTGAGGGGTCTAATGCAGTATCTTTAGCATCTATTTATCATTGGATTGAAGCATTTGAAAGTGGAAAAAATAATGTTGAAGATGATTCACGTTCTGGACATCCTCAAGAAACTTCCACCCTTGAAAACATTGCAAAAGTTGATGATTTAATTAGTTATGACCCTCATATGACAATTACAGCTATCGAAGAGAATGTAGGTATTTCTAGAGGAAGCATTCAAAGTATTTTACATAATGAATTAAAAGTTCATAAAATTTGTAAAAAATGGGTCCTGCATGTTTTAACTGTTGAAAATAAAAAAAATCAGGTTGAAATTTCTAAGCAATTGTTAGAAATCCTTGATAATGGACTTAATAATATTATCACAGTTGATGAAACTTGGTTTCATTTTTATACTGTACCAAGTAAAGAATCAAATAAAACATGGGTTAAAAGTGAGGAAAATCAGCTACAAATTGCCAGAACTGCACAAAATGCTAAAAAAAAGATGTTTTGTGATTTTTTCTCAATAGAAGGTGTTGTGGCAAGAATTTTTGTACCAAAAGGTCAGACTGTAGATGGCACATTTTATAGAACAAATGTATTGCCTATTGTATTTTCAAAATATAAATTAAAAAATAGAAAAACAGTAAGAAATGTGATGATGCATCATGACAATGCTGCTCCACACAAATCAAAAATTGTAACAGAGTATTTAGAAGAGGAAAAAATTATTTCACTCCCCCACCCTCCATATAGCCCAGATTTAGCTCCTTGTGACTTTTTTCTATTTCCTAGAATTAAAAAAGAGCTAAAAAATCAGCATTTTGATCATATTGAAAATCTTGCACATGCAATTCAGGCAATCACAGATGGCATCACAAAAGAGGACTATCAGAAATCATTTGAAAATTGGAAAAATAGGCTACAAAAATGCATAGATAATGATGGAAACTATTTTGAAGGAATGCATTAATTTATTTTAGCTTTTTTCAACCTTTTAGATAACCAATGTACAAGGCTTGTTTTTGTTGATAATTTTTAAAATTCAATATCTCAATAACTAACTGGTAAAAGAAAGTAACCTTTTTTTTATTTGAAAGATGAGAAGAATGTTACTTATATAAAAGAATTTCAAATTTATTACACTTAAAATCATCAAGTTATGTACCTTACAACAAAAAATTTCCAGTTGTTTTTGTTGTTAATCTTTAAAATTTAATATCTCAATAATTAGCAATCAAAAAAATATTTGCCTTTTTATTTGAAAGATGGGAACTCTGTCTTTTATTTAAAAAAATTCCCAAATCAATTGCCTTCAAATTATAAAGTCACATTCATTTCTCAACTTTTTGTACAACCCACGTATTTCTAGCTTCTTTTTTATTTTTTTTTACATTCTGATTTGCTTGATATAATTCAATTTTGATATCAAAATATCTTGAGAACTTTTAAATGATAAAAGGCAATCCATTAGGGAGTGTAGATACCACTTTCTTCTGCTAACTATCCTATGAAAAATAATGCTTAAATTCCATATTATCAACAATAAGAAATGAAATAATATTTATTCTTTTATTATTAAAATATTTGTGTTTGAAGATTATTGTATATATGATTAATTTTTTACACAATAGGTGGTAATAAAGATAGCTATAATCTTGTCATGATTACAAATAACAAAAACATTCTGCTGTTAAATGTAATGCTGAACAAAAACACAGTAATAAAATTTTAACTTTTAATTTTGAAATTTGTTTTACAAATTATTTATTTTATTAATAAAATTTATATATGGTAAATAGCTTAAAAAAAAAGAAAGATGTTGTTAAACCTAGTATAAAGACTAGATCTAAATCAAAAAAAATAAGTGTAAGAAATTTTTTGATACTAAGTCATCATAATTATAGTTGCAGACAGTTTCAAGGATTGCAGAAAATGTGAAAACAGTTACAGACACCAACTTTGCCACACAGTGATGTAACAACATCAATGTACATGACCTCAATGAGAGAAAGGGTACCAGCACAACATACAATGCAACCTACTAGGATCATAGTCATACCTACCTAGTAGACACATACTTTAGTTCTAGTATATTCATAGTCTAGCCAAGTAGTTACAGAATATATAAGATTATGTAATTATTAACTACGTATGATTCAGTTTCTAGAAGAGGCTCCATATATCTTAAACTTTTAATTTACTAAAACCTCAAAACTTTTAGGATGCCAGAATATTTTAAAATTGATAACTGTAATATTAATTTAGATCAAATTAAAAAATACAAAATAAATAATTGAAGTGTTTTTAATTAAATAATAGACAAGATGTAAACAAAATTGTTATTTCCAATCTAATTACTGATTTTTTTAGGAATTGCAACATTTTCCAAAATTTTCATTACACCAACAGTTTTAACAAACTCTAATTCTTCTTCATTCCTTACAAGTAGCATTCCAGCAAATCCAAGAGAATTTATTGAAACATATTCATATTTTTCAGAACGCCTAGGCACTATCATCATCCATGTATGCGTCATAATAAAATTATATGAAATATGAAAATAATCATTTTTAATAACATTTTTATGATTGGTATTAAAATCTTTGAGCATTCTATTGAGTAATGAATGAAAATTTTGCGAGAGATATTGACCAACTTCTTCATAATTTCCATGTTGATGTTGATGATGGTGTCTTTCACTAATTTGTTTTGGATCTAATAAAACTACATAATGAATGTAGGGTAAATCTTCAAATTCAAAGATTTCACCTTTTATATAAAATATTTTAGTAATTGTTTTTTTTAATTTTAAAAAATATACATAATAGAATATTTTAAAATGATATTTTACCCGGTTTTCTGTTTTGGGCTCTATATATATATGAGCTGATTGGTGGAGTAAATCTGGCTTCACTTGGTAAAGGAATAACTTGAATATGTTTATGTGGTTGACTGCATTAATTTGATAAATTAGATAAATATTAAAATTATTTTTTAAATTTTAAACAAATATAAGAAACTACAAATGTACCTTGCTCCTGACAATTCGCCACAATTGAAAAAGACAAGAGTTGGTTGACTTTTATTATGCATTATACAAAACCATATGGAAGCCATATCTTCAGGATTAAGAGGATCAGTTTGTTTTTCAAATTCTTTATTTCATAAAAATAAAAAATATCATCAAATAAATGTAATTTTAAACAATAAATAAGTGTACATAGCTTATAAAAACAGATACCTTTAGTGGCTATCACAAGATGATAAGGAACTATGCAATATTTGTTTAACAAAATCACATGTTTGCCATACTCTTGTACAAACAAGTCTTCGCTGTAAGGAGAAAAAGGATCCACCTTTGGTTTTTGTTCATTGTTTTTTTTATCGGTTGTACCAATAGGTTTGTTGGCTAAACTAGGAGCAAGTCTTATTTCAAACTGTAAAGGTCATGAAAACATTTACTTTTTACAATGATGCATATATAGTATGTTTTTATTTTAATAATTCACCTCTATGTCTATCTCAACAATTTTTACTACCCTGCTTTCCATGAAATAGACTTCACCACGTTTAAGAGCACGTTCATAGGTATCAATGATTCGATTTTCAAAATGTGTTTGCATATTTAAGGGCAGTGAACTATAGACAGGTGATTTTCACTATGATTTGCGTTGCACGATTATTGGCCGGCCATTTAATATTAAATTATTTCCTAGCTTCAATATAAAACGTTGGGGGTGTCATACAAGTAGATCAACAAATCTAATTAATATCATTATGATAAATTAATATGTACGGTTTTTTTAATGG